CATGGAGACAAGTATTTTACTTGTACATAGTCAAGATCTAAAACATTAGTTAATTCGTTAGCTATTACACGTTCAAAGTAGTCAGACTTAAACTGAAAAAAATTCTAATTAAATATTTAACATTGGATCTGGAGAGTTGGTTCAGGGATTTAAGGGTGCTTGCTTTGTGGGGCAGTGGTGGCACACACCCTTAATCCCAGCACTCCAGAGGCAGAGGCAGACAGATCTTCGAGAGTTTGAAGCCTATCTGGTTACAGGCAGAGTGCCAGGATAGGCTCCAAACCTACACCGAGAACCCATGTCTCAAAAAACAAACAACAAAAAAGGGTACTTATTTCTCTTGCAAAAGACAGTTCAATTCCCAGCACCCACAGGCAACTCAGTTGCTTGTAATTCCAGTTTCAGGGGAATCTGATGCCCTCTGCTGGTCTCCACAGACATCTGCACAAGTGTTCATGAATAAGACAAGACACACACATACACATAAATAAAAATAAGTCTTTACAATATTTATGTCACATTGAATTCATTTACTACTAGATATCTAAAGTAGTGTAGTGTCCTGTTTACTAAAATGTCATTAGGTACTCCTTTGGTTCTGCCATGTAACAGAGTTTGTTTGGGACATTTCTTGTAGGTGAAACTGTGGACCCACGTAAGTGAGAAGCCAGATAGCACAGCACCGGTTTCATGTTGTGACTACTTCTTATGTCATGTCCAAAAAATCCAGTGGACTTTGATTCTGGGTCAGCTGCTGTGTGTGGACTTTACAAGGATGCAGACATAGCTCACCCTTGTTGCCCTGGCAATGGCATAGCAGCCTTACCCAATTGGAAGATTACTCAACATAACTCTCAGATCTACTCATTTGTTAGTTGAAGAGTGAACAGCCTGCCGCCTCAGATAGTGCTAAGGTTTTCTTTATTGAGATGCACCAATCAAGCGAGAGGGAGGGAGCTGGAACCAGCGCAGGTAGCTGGGGGAGCAGAAGGGAGAAGGGCTGGGGTCTCCACGTGCAGCCCTTAAGAACCTTCCCTTATGTCACCCCGACTTCCCTTCACCCTGCCCTCATGGGCGAGTCCCCGGTACACCTGGCACCTGTCCGGGTTGCCTGGGGCCGTGCTAGGGTGTCTCCCTATAATTTCCCTTTTAGTCTAAAAGAGGATTAAAACTTAATAGTGTAAAACGTCTAAAACTAGCAATCATAAAGGTGAAATATAAGAAGATACAATAATCTGCTATTGCACATCCTATGTCTATTCCAGCTAAGTCTTAAAGTCATGTGGAAAGGGTGTCTAACTTGAACACCTCCTTCCAATCCCAACTCTAAACAATAAGAAGGTCATTCTTAACTATTAGGCTTACAGTACCCTAATAAACAATAATGGGGAACGGGGGCGTAGCATCTTCTAAGTTACTTCCTGCTGAAATGGGACGATGGTAGCCATGTGGGGTCCTGTGGAAAAAAAATGCTAGTACAGGGAAAGTCTCTAATGAGTTATGTCTAGTCCATGTTAGATGAGATTTGCTTGATTGAAGATCTACGTTGAAATCCTCAACTTGATTGAAGTCATTACTCGAGGTTCTGGTTGGAGTGTCAGTCAAAACGGAGTGAGTTGAATCCAGTGCAGTCGGGGAGGTGTAGTCCAATTCTTTTTCCGGAGCATGCAGGGATTGCTGTCAGGCTGGTTCTCATTGGCTGTATGGGACTCAAACATAAGTGTCATCAGAGAAATGTTCGCTTGTACATGTATGTGTACTGGGAAAGGCAATCCTTGAAAAACAATAATTATGAGAGGGTGTAGGGCTTGAAAGAAAGAGCCAAGAAAAGACAAAGATAGTCCTCTTATTAGTTGTTTGGTTAATTGTGAAATCTGCTGATATTGAAATATTGGCATTCCGTTGGAAAGTGCTTAGTATATTGTAATGCTCATGTCTCAGGGGTTTTATCTCCACAGGCTGTGGCCTCTGAGTTAAAGAAAGGCCTCTGTTGACTGATTGTTTCCTTCGAGTCGGACAAGATCATTGCTGTCTTAAATCAGAGTAGCTTGGGTGACCCATACAAGACCCCTGGGACTCCCCCCAGTTAGGTAAGACCTGTGAATATTTCTACAGAGAAGGCAGAGAAGAGGCTGGGGTATCTATGGTACTTGCTGGTCAGCCAGTCTAGCTAAATCTTGGAGTTCCCAGTTCAGGAGAAGACCCTGTCTCAAAATATAAGGCAGTGAACAACTGAGGGAAAAAACCAACATCCACAGAAGTACATATGTGTGTAATGAGAGATTCTTTGTCCTGGCTTCATCCTGCCGCCCTTCTCATGCCGTGAACATCCTCAGTAATTAGCTTGAATTTTCTAAATGCAACTTCTTCATTCAGTAGATCAGCAAGGCTCACTTCAAACACATGACCCTTGAGGTCACCAGATGCAGTTTTGGTTCCTTGAGTCCTCGTGACTAGTGTTTCCCCGGTGTTTCTAATATTGAACATTTCAGGAGCTTTCACACCATATGTGTGCATAGATGAGCACACAGTTACAATTGGACCAATGATGGCTCAACAGGTAAAAGGCTTGCTGCCAAGCCTGATGACCTGAGTTTGATCCCCTGAATCTACATGGTAGATGCAAAGAACTGACTCCCACAAGCTGTTCATGTAGTGGCACTCATGTACAAGCACACACTAAGCTGAGATCTGAAAAATAATGAAGGAAGAGCACTATCCAGCCCCTAAGAGTTAGCAAGAGTATCTCAGGAAACAGGAGGGAATGAGAAACCTCTGAGGCCACTCTTACTAGTTGAGGAACTAGAAGAATAGGGTGGTCAGCACACAGCTAGAAAGGGAGGGTGAGGCCAGGAGAGTGCGTGGAGGTGACTGTAGGGAAACAGTCCTGTGATGTCAAAGGTCATGCTAAGATCTCATTGTCACTCTAGGGTCTTCTGCTGAATTGGAATGACACCTAATCTTCAGTGTGACAGAAAAATGCTGTTGTGTAAGCAGAAACCAGGAAGGGACCTTTGTAAAAAGCCAACAAAAGCGGTGGCAGTTTGAGTTACGAAAGATGACAGTAGAAATAGAAGGAAGTGGTGGCTTTTGAGAAATGGAGTTGACTGGTCTTTACATAAGATGAATGTGAAGGAAGTCCAGAGCTTTGCCATAACCTAGAACATTGGCCGTTTACCAAAGAGAAGCACTCCAGAGAGGGAGAGCAAAAAGTTTCCATGATGGATGGACGATCGGTGTGTCCAATATGAAACAGGCAGAAGACTGGGGCATCTGGTTCTTAGATGAGGGGCCCAGATGGGCACTCAGCTAATGAAAAACGAGGGAGAGCTGGATATGCCTGTTGCAATCATGAAGCAGAGGGCTGGAGCAGGACCTCTGTGTTCCCTGGCTCACTGCCCTCTCCCAGCTCATCTGCAGAGATACGACAATGACCATGCACAGCCAGTGGACACTCACAGCTGGTTTACAGACTCTGACATTCTGTTTTTATGAACACAGTATGAAACCCAAGCATCCCAAGTTCTCCTTATGCATATATTTACTTAATAAAAATTTTTAAAACAAATATTTAAATGTTTCTCTACCCCCAAATTTTTGTTCCTTTATAAGTGGCTAATTGGCTTAATCAATAACTAGGATGATTTTCTTACCTCTCCAAATGTGTAATGAACTTTAGTGATACTTTCAGGATCCCAAATGTCACGACTGGAATTTTCTAGGAACAATGTTACATACTCCACTGCACCTAGCTATGTTGTGGGTGTTGGAAATCCAAACCTAGGATGTCATGTTTGTGCAACAGCAAACATGTTGCCCAATGAATCATCTTCTCAGACACCCAACTTTAATGTAAGCCAGCAAATTTGAAAAGTGGTATTTCAATAGCTAGTAGATACATGAAAGATGAAGGAAAACATGTTATGGATTGTTTTTATTTGGAACCATCAGAGAAGCACTTAAAATCTAAGCCTTCAAATTCTTTTCTATTAATGATATAAATAGTGAACTCATAAAGATTGGTTTTGTTTATATACACTCAACTGTAAAAAAAAATAACTTTTTGTAGTGTTTACACCATCAAGTCCAATCAAGCCAAACAAGATGGTGAACTAAAATGATTAATGAATTCAGATTTAGCCAGGGCTTTAAATTGAGGATGTCTTGCTGATGTCAGGGTTGATTAGTTCTCCATCTAGCACTGGAGCTATTAAAAGGTTTGAGCAATTCAGATACAGTCATTGAGTAAAATTTCAATGGAATGAGAAAAATTCTATCGGGTGCATTCTGCTGGTAGAATGGTGGGCACACATGTGTGCAGGGAGTGGGGCTTTATTGATGGGGTTGGAGACCAGGAGGCAGAGGAGCTGAGCAGGTGGTGTCAATCATGGCAAAGGTGAGAAAGTTTGGAATTAAAGAAAAGCTTATCTTTGCACAAGGATTCCAAATGGCATGCAGGTACGAATATTGATCATTTCCAGTTTCAGAATGTTTCGTGAAACTGGAGGAAATAAATGAAGGGGAGGCAGGAAGTTAATACAGTGGCATGCCCCAGTAACTCTTCTGAAGATGAATCCATAGGGAAATCACTGTAACCAGTGGTGGAAGCTACCACTTTCCTTTTGAAGGGAACAGAGGCAAATGTGATTCAGGTCCTGAGACCCTGCGTGGGAATGATTGGGCACCAGAGTTCTTCAGGGCCTGCCAATCAAACTGGAGGACTGAGCCAACAGGACTGCAAGTGAGAATCTAATTGGCTGAAGAGGTGTCCCACTTGTGCTAGAACACTGTGCTGAGGCCAGTCCTAGCCTGTTGTACTGGATTTGGGGGGACTGAAGGCCCAGGTAGCTATGAGTTTGGGAAGGTAAGTGACAGAAGGAATGTTAAACCATTTCAATGTCTGTGCCTTTTGAATGTTTTATTGCTGGTGCAAATGTCCCAAGACATTTTAAATGGGAAGGAACAAATATTTTACTGGATTCATGTTTTCTGAATTTTTCCAACTCCAGCTTTGCCAGGGTCTGAGTGGGGAGACCTGTCAGTGGGTCAGAAGACATCGGAAGGCACCTGTTGTCACAAGTGCAGCTTTGACAACTCCAGGAAAAAGGCAGCGAATAATTTGGAACCCTGTATGTAGTTCCACCTAAAGAAAATAAAGACAAGGAAACATATTTTCTCCAACATGAAGAAGGAAAAGCAACCAACCATGGCCACCAAAAAATTGTATGTATTATAAACCCACTCAATTTAAAGTATTTAGCATGCTTCTGAGATCTTAGGACCAAAGTCACTTGGTAAATCCAAGAGGAGAATGGCATCATTATTAAGAAGATGAGATCACCAGATATGTTTTTACACACCTGCAATCCCAGCATTTGGAAAACAGAGGCAAGAGGATCACTGCAACCTCAAAGCCAGTTTGGCCTATATACAGCTTTCCAGGCCAACCAGGGGTGCAGAACAAGATTCTGTCTCAGGACAGCAATCAAAAGAAGATGGAGGAAGAGGGGGGGAAGGAAGGGAAGGAGGGGATGAAAGAGGAGAAAGGAAAGAGGCAATTAATCTTGGACCCAACCAAAGAAATGCCCATTTTCTTTGTTTTTTGCTTTACTGCCTCCCACCTTGACCTCTTTGGGTGCTAGGATTCCTGGAGAGCACTGCCCCACCTGGCTTTCTTGGGTTTCTCAGAGTTTCTTTGACTTCTTATTCTTGACATGACAGGGATTGAAGAACCAAACATTTCTGTTTCTCACTCATTTGGAGGCTTATATAACCTGTCAATATGCTCATACCAAGCACTGCTAAATATCCTTTGTTGTGCTCCCCAGATCTGTATGTTGAAGCCCTAACTCGAAATGAGACAACATTGGAGGCAGGACCTTTCAATGAGAAGATGATTAAAATTAAGTGATGTCAGAGGATGTGCCATAGTCCCATGGTGCTGGTGAATTTACAGGGGAAGAAATGCCAGAGCCCCTTGCTCGCCTGCAGACAGGACCGATCCCTTCTTCCTCCTTACTGCTTCTCTCTCCTCTTAGTTCTAGTTCTACCACATGAGGACATGCAAGGAAGGCAGTAGTCTGAGACCAGTTGTGGTAGTTTGAAAGAAAATGCCCCACAAAGGAGAGGCACTAACAGGAGGTGTGGCTGTGTTGGAGTAGGTTTGGCATTGTTGGAAGAAGTGTGTCACTGTGGGGGTGGGCTTTGAGGTCTCCTGTGCTCAAGCTACACCCAGTGACACAATTCACTTCCTGTTGCCTGCAGATCAAGATACAGAACTCTCAGCTCCTTCTCCGGCACCATTTGCCTGCCTGTGTGCTTCCATGTTCCACCATAATGATAATGGAATAAGCTTCTGAAACTGTAAGACAGCTTCAATTAAATGTTCTTCTTTATAAGAGTTGCCATGGTCATGGTGTCTCTTCACAGCAACAGAAGCCCTTAGTAAGACATCAGGCTTAACCTGGTGTTCCCAGCCTAAGGAAATGTGGGGAGAAGCCTCAGGTCTTTAAGCCACCAGGTCTGTTATTGTCCAGTCTTACACAAGGCTAGCAGACAGGCCCACAGGGAGCTCTCACCTTCACAGGGTCTGCTCACCTGTTAATCTTCTCATTCTGAGAGTGTTCTCCGTCATCCACAGCCCCCAACGGGAGCATCATTACACTCTTTTGTGTAATAGCCTGGAATAACTTAGCAATTGGAATGGTTGACCCATCCTGGATCATGTCAGGATCTACCCCAAACACTGAAACACAGGAAAAGGAGGCACTAGAATAAATCACAGCAAGATACCTATCACTTTTCAAGACAGGGTTTCTTTGTGTAGCCTTGGTTATCCTGGAACTCACTCTATAGACCAGGCTAGCCTGGAACTCACAGACATGCACCTGCCTCTGCCTCCTAAATGCTGGGATTAAAGGCCTAGTTTAACAATGATACATTTTATCTACTAATCTTTTAAGACTTTTCCTGGGAAGAGGTGAAAAGAAACATTTACTCACTCTAGTCAAGGCACCAACAAACCAAAGAAAAACAATTCCACCCAGCTCTAGCTTGGTATCCCAATGAGTTTAATTGGTGTTAGATGCAAGAGCATGGACAAGTTGCAGGTAGCTACACCACCAAAAAAACCCTCTCCTTACACCAGGAATTGTTAACCATTAAATCTACTCATGGAGGAGCATGGCCTCTTAAATCCACTGTGAAGACTTCCTGTTGGCTGCCTTCTGATGTAATTCCTCCTTTTACTGGTTATGTGAGCTGAAATATCCCATCATTCCTCCCCTACTATGATGGACTAAACCCTCTGAAACTGTGAGACAAAAAAAAATCCATTCCTTCTCAAGTTGTTTCTTCCAGGTACTTTTTATGGTCATGAAAAAAATAACTAACATAGTTCTCTTTCACAAATTACTCCGTCTCTGTAAGTCTTCATTTCCTCTGTAAACTGGAGAAGGCTGTTGTGATGACTACAGGCAATGCTAGGGAAGTAACATCCTGTGCTACTGTACCCTGGGTATACATCTTAACGGTCAGCTTGACTAAAGGCAAACTGCAGGGCACGCCTTTAAAGGGCATTCTTAACAGGTCATTTGAGGTGGGAAGACTCACCCTAAACTCGGATGGCACCTTCTGGTGTCAGCTCAGCTTGGATGAAGGGGACAGAAGATCGGATTTTTTTTTTTTTTTTTTTTTTGCCTGCTTGCCTTCCTTCCTGCTGGCAAGTTCATCAACACCACTGCTTTAGCTTTCCTTCGCTAGTACCAGAACCCAGCCCTTTGGGCTTCCAGTGTGACGACCTGTAGCTCTCCAGGAATCTTCCAGGCCTTAAGCACCAGGTTAGCACCCAGCCTTAGGAACTGAGCAGCTAGTGGGTTCTTGACCTCTCCGATGTGAGGCAGCCATTGTTGGAATGCCCAGACTCTGTCATGAAAGGCAGCCAAGTAAATCCCCTTTTAATATATACTCATTCTATTGGTTCTGCCCCTCTAGATAACTAATGCACCTTGGATAAGGAGGACAGTTGATATTTGAGACTTAAAAGTGTCTTGGCCCTGATGCAAACAGGTGAATCACAGTATCTGTAAGGCCCACCTGTTTTGATGGCTCTTTTTGCTGCGAGATACTGAGTATCATTGATGTTCGCAGTCCAAGGTTGGAGTCCTAGTACCATGGACACAGTCATCTTGTTGAAACTGTTTCTTTTGGCGAACACAGCTTCCAGATGTTGCTTCACCTAGAAGGTGACACTGTCAATAACACTGGACTTTGCTCATTCAGTGTGTATGGTCTTTCATCCAGAAACTAGAGGAAAGCCTGACCTGATGAATTGGAGCATTGTGAGCCTTTAGTTAATGCCACTAGGTCTGTAACAATGAACAGGGGCTTCCAAGGCTCTGGGCATTGTCCAGAGGGCAAAATGCACTCTAGTTAACCTTTACCCCTTGAACCTGCACAGTCCCTGATCCATAGTGGTATCTAAGTGGTGTTTGCTGGAAATTATGAAGCATAATCCAAATAAAGGTGCTCAGTAGCAGTGTCTTTGGTTTTTGATCTCTAAGAGACATAGGGGAGACATTATACATTCTGGGAAATTCTGGAAAGTGGGAGCAATTCCATTTTAAGAGCCTGTAGCACTCCTTCCTAATGACTGCTGAGGAAATCCTCTCAGGAGGCTCCAGGCTCCAACACATAGCTTTCATTCATTCTTTCAGCTAGCATTAATCAGCACCAAGGTGCTGAGGATATAGCTGCAAAAAAAGAAAGAGAGAGAGAGAGAGAGAGAGAGAGAGAGAGAGAGAGAGAAGGCATGAGGAAGTTCCTGCCCTTGTGGACTGTGTATCTGTAAGGTAAAACAGTGGTGTTTCCAAAAGGGAAGGAATCAGCAGGAGAGGACAGAAGGAAGAGGGAAGGACAGAAGGAAGAGGGAAGGAGACATTTAGAATGTAACTAGAACACAATACAAGGACAACAGATCCTGGGGAGGGTATGGAGGTATTTCCTCAGCCCTCTCTAAGAGTCTACTTCCTGTTAAACCTACTCTAGGTGAATTAATAATGGGCTGATAACTGAGAAAGATAACTCCTTCCAGATAGTACTTTCCTCACAATTGCTGCTTTCCACACGCTGGTTTCAAACATCCTGACATAACAAATGACTGGACTTGAGCTTTTCCAGCTCCAGCCAAGTGTAGTCAGCCCTACTCCATCCCCATGTAAAACCAATCTAGCCTTTGTAGCTAACATCTAATTTTTAAAAATTTCCCCATCATTGCAACTCCAAGTGGCTATTTTTCTGACTTCTGGGATTGGGGAAAGAGATTTGCACTGAGTAAGGTTGATGCTGGCTTCTTGACATTTGTTCCACTCTTTTGTGCTGGGAAAAAAAATGAAGCTTCAGTAATAACCACAGAATCGCTCCATTTGCCATGGGGTACGGGGCTCAGAAATGGTACTGCTGGACCTAGTGACAACAGACACTTGTTACCTGTTTTTCCACCACAGACAGATTCATGTGAGGGACTAGGCGGATTGAAAATTTTCCTATGACTCGGCCGGGGATGACTGTTTTAGTTCCAGGCTCATCAAACGCACCCTCAATGCCATGGATAGAGAGAGATGGATACCTCCATAGGTGCATCAGGAGTTCCTCCTAAATCATGCAAAGAACGTATGACTAAAGCTCAGTTGAGGGCTACATGCAGTGCTTGCCTCGCATGCACAAAGCCCCGGATCTGGGGCTGGGGGCAGATGCCTTTGTCCCAGCATTTGGGAGGTAGAGATAACAAAATCAGGAATTCCACATTGTCCTTGGTTCCTTAGTGAGTATGAGACCAGCCTCAGCTAGAAGAGATCCTGTCTCAAAAACAAAACAGAACAAACAAGGAAAATGAGCCAGGCGTGTTTGCTCATGCCTTTAATCCCAGCACAGAGGCTCTGTGAGTTCAAGGCCAGCCAGCCTAGTCTACACAGATTCAGGCCAGCCAGGGACACATAGTGAGACCTTGTCTCAAAGCAAATAAATAGAAAGACAAATAAATAAATAAATGGAATAAAAGGATTAGGGATAGATAGCTCAAGAGTAGAGCACTTGCTTAGGATGCACAAAGCCCTTGGGCTATTCCCCTAGCACTGCAAATCAAATAGATCTCAGCTGAATTAAATTGCTCAGATCTCCAACATCTGTGTACCTGAGACCCACTCATGACAAATTACTTAGCATCAAGTTAGCTGGGTCTGGACTAATAATAGAGGCAGGACATGAGGCTTCCTGTCTTCTGCTGACTTCAGCTGCCTGGTGCTGCTGTCCTGCCCAGAACTTCTTCCTGTCTGAGCAGCTGCTTCAGAAATCCAGTCAGAACCAATAGGATGACTCGGTGGGTACAAGCACTTGCCACAGAAGCCTGGCAACCCGAGTTTGATCCCTAGAACACAGGTAAAACAGTCAGATGGGGAGGGACACATCTGTAATCCCAGCACTTCTATAAGAATACAGGCAGAGATAGCTCATAGGCTAGCTTGGAGTATGCAGAGTGGCAGAACCAACAAGAAAATCCTACCTCAGCAAGATAGAGAAGAGAACCGACTCCTGAAACTTGCTCTCTGGCTCCACATGTGTCACACACAATATAATAATAATAACAATAGTAATAATAATAATAATAATAACAATAACAAAATGACTTAAAAAGAAACTGGATCCAATTATAAATTTCTAGCCAGGGTTATACACTGATAACGAATGTAGCAAATTTCATTCCTCAGAAATCCCTAAACAAACCCTCAGTATTTGAGCCAATTTCTTTCTTGTGTATTTTCACAAACTTAGTCCGAGGGAAGAAATACAGTCACACAGAAAGCCGTACCACTTATCATCACAGGTTTGCCTTCTCTGGGCAGTGCCTGGGGAATCAACCACAGTTACCAATATCTGAGCAGGAAAGCATTTTTTAAAAGAAAAAAAGATTTTCTATTAGTTTAGTGTGTGTGTGTGTGTGTGTGTGTGTGTGTGTGTGTGTGGCAGTGCCTGGGGAATCAACCACAGTTACCAATATCTGAGCAGGAAAGCATTTTTTAAAAGAAAAAAAGATTTTCTATTAGTTTAGTGTGTGTGTGTGTGTGTGTGTGTGTGTGTGTGTGTGTGTGTGTGTGTTTCCTTTTACGCATGTGAATGTGGCACAATGCCTAAAAAGGCAAGAATAGAAGAATAGCGTGTCAGATCCCTGAGAAGTAGAGTTACAGGTGGTTGTGAGCTGTCCAACTGAAAACTGAACTCAGGTCCTCTGCAAGAGCAATCCATGCTCTTAACCATTAAGTTATCCCTTCAGCCCACAGCAGGCAAAGTATTCAACAACAAAAAAAAAAAAAATGAAAAAGAAAATGAACAAAAACTTAAAATTCTTCAGGAATTTCTGCTATGAGTTCTAAGTTTCTTCACAGCACAGAGAAAGGAATGCTCTGGCTTGTCCATAGGCCCTGAATGGTAACGCCTGAGAAAGAGAATGATTACAGGTGTTGGAGCCAGTGTCTCAGATAGTGGCTCCCAATCTTTGACTATTCAGAAAGTTCAGCTCCCTGACAGGAAGTGGAATGGGATTTAAATTAATAAAGTGCTGTGGAAAGACCACTGTTGACTGCGTCATTATTCATGATTAGATGCCTGAAGCCTGCACAGACTGCTCCCGAAAGTGGATCAAAATTTGCCCGGGATTTAATCTTTGCCTGGTGTTCTGAGATGCACAGATCAACAGCGTGGTGCCGCTTAGACCCTGGGAAAACAAGATTTGGGAGCAGCAATCCTCTTTCAGATCGTGTATGCATTTAAGATTATACCTTGGTATCAAACAGAAATTTCTCAACTTGGCTGCTCTTCTGGTATTCTTCCATGTCCAGATCAATGTTTCTATACATTGTTTTTTCCTCCTCTGTAAGAGGGGCCATTTGATCATAGATTCCAGGAATCAGGATGTGGCCTGATGAATCTACCAGGCTGCCTACAAAACAGATACAGAAATTACAAGTGTGCCAATGCTGTGCTCCTAGAGCCAAGCCAGATAAGACTCTCCTCTCTGGCAAGACACTCATGACTGCCACTGTCCCCTGGCCAGAATCAGTGGCAAGCAATTCCCTTTACCCAAGAGATTATGGTACCAAGAAGGAAGTGGACACAAGGCAGGCTCAGCTCCAAGGGCGGAGCTGAGACACAGGTCCGCAAATAGTTAAGTTTTCAGCTATCCTATACCTTTTATTTCACAAGTAAGCCTCCTGTTTACATTTTATCTTATCCTGAGTTAAGAAGTAATAGGTATAAATTATTAAATAGTTGAAATATATGCACATATTTTACATATGCATACATACAAACTTGCACAAGAAAGTGAAACTTCTCAAAATATTTTTCACGTTACACACACACACACTCACACACTCAAAGAAAATACATATCAAAGGCAAATTACAATCAGGAAGTTCATTGCTATAACTCACACTAAATCAATCTGGCTGGGGACATTTATTTAAGGTAAGGCATTTCATAAGTGTGTGTTCTGTGTTATTAATATGGTTAGAATTTGACATTACCAGGATAGGAACTTTATACTCTGAATCACTCTGTTTTACAATTATTAAGTCAGGAGTGCTATGACTGTCATCCTAGCACTAGGCTGAGGCAGGAGAATGGTTAGCAAGGCTTTATGTCAGTGTCATTAATTACAAAGCACTTGTGAAGACAAGTGGACACTGACGCCTTAACACTGCATGTAAACACACCCTCCACTCTATGTGTAAACACACCCTCTGCTCTAAGTGCTGGGATACCAGAAGATGCCTGCCACCTTCAGTTACTAAGACACCATCTCTAACAAAGTAATAGCCTTGTGGGGATGTATCAACAGGTTCTTCTATTATATGTAGACACAATGAAAGTCAATAAATGCTTAACAAAGTCTATCAAAGGACAGCAGTTTCCCAGAAAACCATCATAGGAAACCAATTTTGAAATGCAAGTGTGTCAAGGCAGCAGAATGTATAGGAAGGTGTCAGTGCTCTGTGTTTCATCAGCTCCTCCTTTGACCATCTCCTGTCCACAGAGCTTCCCCAAATCTTTTGTCCTTCTATGCCTGAACTATATGATAGTATTGAAAGTCATTGTGCTTCCAGTCCTGAGTTACACAAACCCATTGTTAGCCCGGTGAACTGCACTGTGTGTCAGTATGGTTCAAACCCATGAATCCTCTTCAAGTCTAAAAATACAGAGGTATTGAGGGGTGGGGATGACTCAGTTGAAACAGGTTTAGTATACAAGCATGAAGATCTAAGTCCAGGTCTCCAGCACCCACATAGAAACCAGATACATATGGCAACCCACTTACATTCCCAGCCATCAAGAGGAGGAGACAGGGGCTCCCCAGGACAAGGTGACTAGTGACAATAGCTGAGTTGAAGAGCTCTGAGTACAACAAGAGACACTAGCTCAGTGAGTCAAGAGCAGTCAAGTAAGACAGCTGATGTTAGTTTCTGGTACACACACACACACACACACACACACACACACACACACACACCCCTCACATGGACAAACATGAATACGTACACGTACATATACCTCCCACATACATATGTAGTAGATAGCTAGCTGTCAGATAGATAGATAGATGGATAGCAGATAGATAGATAGATAGATAGATAGATAGATAGATAGATAGATAGATAGATAGATAAAGGATTGGTTGGGTCTGGCTATTCCAAAAACAAAAACATCACCAACAATACAATCACAAAAATCTCCCTTCAGCATGCATCCCTATGCTTTTACCCACAGTCTCCAAGGACATATTGGAGAAAATGTGTGACATGAGTCCTGTTCATAATTTTAGCCAGAAATCCATGAAGTCAAGGAGTATCAAGAAGTCCTCTGAAGAGGAATAGCCACACAGGAGGAGGAGGAGCCAATGAGATCTTATGGCCAGGCTGGGTAGCTGATCTTGGGAGGTTTCGTGTAGAAGATGGAAATCATCTTGTGTTGAAACCTTTTACAGAACTGGGCAGGACTTTTATTGTCCTAGTGCTTTTGACAAATGGACTTGAGTACTTCAAGCATCAAAATCAGACTAACCCAAGGATGCTGGACAGTGGTGTGTTCCTATTGTGAGGATGGTAGCAACCCAGATGTCCTTAATGGGCCATGCTGGGGTTTGAGCATTACTAGCTTTCTTGGCACACACTTCTTCTCAAAATTGTAATATTAGCTCTACACAGCTGTCTTATCCACTACCAGGCTGGGAGAAATGCCAGTGAGCATACATGTTGACTAAGGAAAGATGTTCTATCCATCTTCTCTTCCCTTGTAGTTCACTCACTGTGAAATCTGATTAGAAAGAGCCATGGGGTTGCCTCCAGGGTCTGGGGAATTTTAATTTCTGCTGTTCAGAAGTAACTTCATTAGGTTCTTTATCACTGGTACATTTGCTCCATCATGAGGATCCTGCCTCCCTGTCCGATCTCTTCCAGTGGACTCAGTGATCCTGGGAACACAAAACCACTTTGGAAAGTGCACGGAAGCCCCCACTGGAGACATAATTGCTCCTAGGAACACCTTAGATCCCAGTATCTGAGGGACTAAGACAGGAGGATTGCTATGAGTTCCAGGCCAGCCTGGCCTACAGCATAACATCTGGTCTATGAAAAATAAATAAATGTTTGATGATGATAAAAGGAAGGAAAAATTAGTCCGGTGAAAAGATCAACTATCCTTGCTCCAAAATACTAAGTTGAATATTATCTGAATTCTTTAAAAGAAAAAAAGGCTTGTTGTGTTCTTTCTGAAAATGTCAAGCATGAGATACAGACTGAGTATATTAATATTTTAGAAAAAAATGTAAGGCCACTGAAGAATATATATATATATAATATATATATATATTAGATTAGTAAATAGATATAAAGATAATAGATAGATGAAAGGTAGGTAGATAGATAATAAGTAGGTAGGTAACTAAAATGTAGACTGATTTTTACTGTTTAGTTTTAATTTTGGAGGAAATTCTATAGCTAAGATGCCGAGGAAGACCTTGAGAAGACCCTCCAATGTATAGCATCTGTGTGTTCATTTGGTCCCGTGGCCCTTGAGCCCCAGATGAATACACAGATGCTATATTAATTATGAAATTGTTGGTCGATTACTAGGGCTTCTTATTGGCTATCTCTGTCTTAATTATTAATCCATTTCTATAAATCTATATATTTTCACAAGGCTGTAGCTTACCCGGTAATGGCATGGTGTTACTCCTCTGGCAGCATCGTGACTCTGCCTGCCTACACCTCCCAGAATTCTCCTCCTCTCCTAGTCCTGCCTATTTTACTACCACATTGGCCATTGATCCCAAGAGTGTTTTATTCATCAGCCAATAAGAGAAACATATACAAAAGGACTCTCCATCTTTCCATCATCCGTGACCTTGTAGGCTGTTTATATTCTGTCTGGTACTTCAAAGGCCAAGGGGGTATACATGCAGTTTTTGACAATTTTTCTGCCCCAAAAGAAAACAGTGTTAAACCTCCATAAAAAGCATAGTGCCAGATGCTGTACCAGGGGTGGTTGCACATACCTTTAATTCAAGGACTCAGAAGGCCCAGGCTGGCACATCTTCATGAGTTCAAGGTCAGCCTGGTCTACATAGGAAGTTTCAGGCCCAGTAAAAACTGAATAGTGAGATCCTAATTCAAAAAATTAAAATCAGGGCACAGTGGCATGTGGTTATAATCACAGCACTGGGGATGCAGAGGCAACAGGATCCCTGTCACTTGTTGCCTGGTCAGTCTAGACTACTTGGTAAGCTTTGGATTGCAGTGTCTCAAAAATTAAAGTGGACAACAGCTGAGGAATGAGTAATGACACCCAAGATTGCTCTCGGGCCACCACATGCATGCCCACACACATACACACATGTGCACCAACATTAACACACACACATACACACATTTGTGCATCTACACATATTCATGTCTACAAAATGAACAACTTTTTAAAGAAATAAGTAGAAAATAAATAAAAAGCAGAGTTTCAGTTCATGAAAAGAGATAATACATAACATAGGCTTAATTATAAGCCTAGAGAACACACGAGTGAGAGGAAAAAAGGCTAAGGATATAGTTTTTCTTATAGTACAAATTTTTTCAGAACCGATTCAGAAACCAGAGGAATAGAGGCCAAGGAGACTAAATAGAACTGACGTTCACAAAAGGAAGTAGAAATATTACCTAGAAGAGCAACCAAATCAGCCATTGGTTCGTTAAGGATGCCACCAAAGGTCCCAGAATGAAAATCTTGTTCTCTACACTTAACCTGTAAAGTAGATAAAAGAGTAGTGATTTTCCTACTGTCGTGGTTCCTATGCCAGATGGTATCCTTCAGGACTCAGGTGGGTGACTTCCAGATCCAACCTAACATCTCATGTCTCTCAGTCACATGATTTGCGACTCTACCCTTTTCTGTTTTAAACTGACTTCATTCCCCAACTGTACCACCAATATAATTCTATCCAAGATGACCAGATATCCCTTGGCTGAATTATTGCTGTTCACATAGCTGGCTTGTTGCTGGCTTTGCTCCATGTTCTAGTTGTGACTCTTACAGCTATACCCATGGCCATCATTTTGCTGCTTATAAACTTTCTTCATCTACCCAGCAGGGAGGAAAAGAGGCCAACAGCAAAACAAGATGCTCCACCATTTTTATTCAATCTACTTGATACCTTCTCAAGAGAGACTAATTCCTTCCCTGGGCACAAGATCTCCTCCCTGCCCACCTCAGGCCTCTGTTCTCCTCAGGGTCTCCTGGCACTCTTCTTTCCCTTGTTTTGGGAAGGTTCTCAGAGAATCTATGCTCCTTCACAGCCATGACTCCATCTCTCCTTCACAACCAAGTTGACATTCCAACTTCTGGCTACCTATTTTCCCAGCATTCCCATATCATCTCTCTCACTACCTGTGTCTCTTTACAGTAAGCTCCCTGGAAGCTGAGGCTGATTTACTCAGTCCTTTGTCTATGGGACTCACATGTTGTTTCTTTTTTATTTTTTCTTCTCCTCTCCACTCCTCTCCCACCTCCTCCTTACTCTCTGCCCCCCCCCTCTCTCATGTCTTTCCCTCCCTCCCACCTGAAGTGCTGAGATGGAACCTGGAGCCCCATACAGACTAGACAACCAAATGCTTCTCTGTGAACTGTATCCCCGTCATTGCTTTTCAACTGATAAAATGCAGATGTAAAAATAATTACAAAGATGCATTGTAGGGGACAGTGTAAGCTACACCTGCTAGAAGCTGTCTATAGGTGTGCCCAACCACGCCCATCAGGGCGTGGTCAAGATGATGTCAGGGTGAAGAGGGATAGGGTTTAAGGGGACAGACAAGGTACATGGGGACTCCTCTCTGGCCTCTCTGACTTGCTGCCCCTGGCATGCTCTGGCTTGTGTTTGGCTAGCGTTTATCTAATAAAAGATATCTTAACCTTACAGATTATATATCTTCTCTTTATAATGCATGATATTTCTATCTGGTTCATAACATTTAAGTCTCATAAATGTCTGGGTTTGTGTCCTTCCATCACATCAACTAGTAAATCTACAGCCTGTTATGAGAGACACCCAGGAGGGACTTTATTATAAGTTGTGTGTACTATCATAGGTTGCCTATATTACTGAAAACTATTTGAAAGGAGGAATAATCTTTGGGTAGAGTAAGGAGATCCCACCAATTTTTGAGATGGAAAACTAAGGCCCAAAGATAAAGACATCTGCACAAGGCTGTGAGTCACAGAATGATGCCTCTGATGCCTTCAGCATCTATTTCCTTTTGACCATAGCACTAGGGTCCCCTGCCACCAAGGCCTGCAGGCATACAATCAGAAAGGTTACAAAATGCTAGCCTAGCATCTGACCAAGTAGCCATCTTGGTAGGGCAATATTCCTGCTTTCAGAGCCCATACCCACAGTTCCGAAAGAAATGTCCAGGACTCAAGCATATTTACTCTAAGATTTCAGGGGTTTGTGAAACACATCTCCAAGCCCCAAGACTTCTGTGACCACCCAGGCTGTGAACCCCTGTGAGAGCTGCCTGATTTCCTCTCTCTTTAAGGTCCTCAATAATTCCTCCATCCCATCCACAGCCCCAATCTCCCTCCACAGGTAGAGCCTGCCAATACCTCCACCATGAAGTAGCAGTTCCCACGGGTTCCAAAAGTGAGCGCAGGCTTCTTCTGGCTGATCCACAGGTTGTCTGAAATCACAATGTAGTCCACACTAGAGAAGAAGTGGTCCTTTTCTCTTCTGACCAGCTCTTCCAGGGCAACAGATCCAGCCTCCTCCATCCCTTCCAGGATGAACTTGACGTTCACAGGAAGATCCTGGAATAACAACAGAACGAGGAGCCTGTACGATATGATCAAGCAAGGTTTTATTTATAAGCTTGTATTTAATAAAGATACATTCATCATCTATATTCAACATGTGGATTGTTTACCATGGAAGCAGCTCTGTTTACAGCAGCAGAGGAGAAACAAAGGTAAGGACAGCTGATAGATCCTATGTGGCCCTATGATGTAATGCTAGGGCAGAATTGGGAGCAGAGATCCTAAAGACAGCAGCACCCATGCCTCAAGGCTTGACCGTGCTTCAAATAGTTGGGGTGGAAGAATGGGATAGTAAGGGACAGTGTGATGGTATATTAGTTATGATTTAATAAAGATTGCCTGAATATCATAATGCAAAGCCAGCCTCACTAGTTAGCTATAGAAGCTAGGAAGTAGTGGCACACACCTTTAATCCCAGGACTCAGGATGGATCTCTGTGAGTTCACATCACCCAGGGGTATACGAGAATGAATCTTTCTAAAAGATTAACAACAGAGCTCACACCTTTAATCCCAGCCCTAGAGAGCTTTATAAAAGACAATAGCCCAGTGTCTCAGGCTGCATTCTGAGATTTAGTCTCCAGCCACGTTGAGGAGAGGCAGCAGTCTGAGGCTTGGTGGAGAGTTCGTGGAGACAGGATCACCCCTTTCAGCCTCAGGCAGAGGTAAGAGCTACTGGCTGACTACTTTGCTTCTCTGACTCTCAGCTTGAACCCCAGTATTGATCTCTGGGTCATTTATGATTTGTGCTACAATTAGGGCAACATCTCTGGGTTTTTATTTTTCATGTTACAGAACAGGACAGAGATATCTTTCTCCCTAAAAGGAACTGTGTGTGTGTGTGTGTGTGTGTGTGTGTGTGTGTGTGTGTGTGTGTGTGTGTGTGTGTACACAGGTGCATATGTGGGCACATGCATGTGGAGGCCAGAGGTCTATGTCTAATGTGTTCCTAAGTTATTCTCGCCTTAATTGTTGAGACAAGGCCTCTCATTGAATCTGGCTTCACTGGCTGGCCAGAGAGTTGGGGGATCTTCCTGTCCCCAGCGTTGGGGCTACCTGACCCAGCATGAACACCTGACCTTTCACAGAAGTCCTTTGGACTTGAACCTGGGTCATCATGCCTGCATGGCAAGTACTTTACTCACTGGACCATCTCCCCAGTTCCCCTAAAAGGCACTTTGGAAGAAAGGTTACTCAATTACAAATTGCTCTTTGGTTCCCATAATTCTGATCATGATAAATGAGAACGTTTTCCTTTGAAAGATTGCTGAGCCTCAGGGTAAGTTTTCTTTCAAGAACATTATTTTTCAATTTCATTCAACCTGCCTTTTGAGTTACTGAGAGGCTTTGATTGTGAGCAAAATGGATCTTATGCCTTTCTCTATGTAAGAAGGACATGGAGAACTCCTTTAAAATTCTGATCTTTTTGTCTGGCTAATTTGTTGATCTTTGAGAGCCACGGTGAGAAATTGGAATTTTTCTCCTGGAGCACAGAGCCGGCTTTAGAGAACTCTAACCATTACTTGCTAAGAAGCCATGTGGTAATCAGCCTGGAGAATGAGTGGATCCGGGTTACCATGCAGCAGACAGACTTGTCCAGAATTAGAAGAGCCCTGGGCCTTAGAAACAGGTGACCTTTGGTCACCCATTTGGATGAAGGCATTTGGGAGTAAGGGTCAGCTCCGTGGAACAGACTGCCCTTCAGTGTAACCAAAGCTGAAGCTCCAAATCATCACAGTCAAGATGTCCTTTAGCAACAGCTGATGAGCACACGATTGCTGAGACATAGCTGGAAAGCTAAAGAAATTTTCATCAAATTATATTTCATAAGATGTAAACCAAGGCTAGCTACACGCTCAGTAGGGAAGGGCACTTGCCGTCAAGTCTGACAACCTGAAGTCTCCATGGCTCACATAGTAGAAGGAAAGAAGCATCTTGCAAGTTGTTCTTTGACATTCTTGGCACATGTGCTCCCTCTCTGTACTTGCTCTTTTACACACACACACACACACACACACACACACACACACACACACACACACACACACACACACACACGACTTTTTAAAAAATTTTAAAAAAAAAAGATGTGAACCAATTTGATAGCTACTTAGTGTGGGGCCAACAGCCAAAGTCTGCATTTAGTCGCTGCTGCAGCTCAGGGTACCTGTGACAATCCAGGATGAACTGTGTCACTTTCCAGTGGCTCATTTCTCTGAGATGTAACACCAGCATTAATGGATGCCCTGCCTCCTTAGTGAGATGATGTGCCTAGGGGACCTGCGTTTGAGTTCTCTGAGAGCAAAAAGGAAGAAACCAGGGTGAAAGAAGGAAGACAGTCTGGGGGGTCACTACAAGATATGTGCCGTTGTCTCTCGGTATTTATTTGCGTGGATGGTGTCTCTCCATGCAGTCCAGGCTGATCGGGTGCTCACAGCCTCTTGCTTCAGCCTCCCAAGGGCTTTGCACATCTGGCATGAAACTATTTCTTCATCTGATTTTTGTCCACAAGCCTGTGTGATAGAAGTTCTCATTCCTGACGCACAGGTAAGGGAAATGAGGTTCAGGGAGGTTAAAAGATGTGTCCAGGACAGCACTGGCTATTTCTTATTTGTTTGTGATTATATAATGTTCAAGCTAAACTTAAAAAGCAAAGCAGGTTGTGGCCTTTATATAGTCATTTCCTTATAAATATTGGTTGTCACACATAGCGAGGGAGGGAGGAAAGGAAGGGAGGAAGGGAGAGGAGAAGGAGGGGAAAGAACAGAGGGTAATGGAATGGAACTAAATAGAACTGGAAGAGGTAAGAAATGGGGCAAAGGGAAAGAAGTGGACGGGAAAGAAAGAAAACAGAGGAAGGCAGAGAGGAGAAGGGCAGGAAAGGGGAGAGAAAGAAAGCAGGGAGGAGGGCGGAGGGGAGGAAGGAGGGAGAGAGGGAGGGAGGGAGAGAAGGAAGTAGGAAAGGCAGTGCTCGGGGCCTGTTGAAGTAAACCAGTTCCCTGCCTGAGGTAGGGCCTGGCCCAGCACCTCCTCATTTACTGAGCTGGTGTTTCCCAGTGCAATGAAGGGTTGAATCCAAGGGTTACTTCCCATCTCATCTGAGTATGTCCCAGGAGAAAATAAACTCTTGAGAGAGAAGCCCCTGGTATCCTGATGAAATACTCTGGTCTGGTTGATTGCTTAGCGTTTGGGAGAAGGAACCATTTGCGGTCTAAGCCTGGAAGCTGGGCAGGGTGGCATGCTCCTTGCTGTCTCTGATTGAGTTGCAAAGGAGGAGGGATCTTCCTCCTATGCCGGTGCTGGTATCCCAATGAATGGAATCAAAGGCCAGGTTCCATACTTCAGGCCGGATAAGCTATTTATGGACAACATGAAAGTTCCTAGTAAAACAGTGCTTGAGCCTGGCTTCCAAAACTCAATGTGTCCATTTGAATAGAATAGAATCTGAGGTCTACATGGGTCAAACAAACCACTTGCCCATAGCCACACAGCAGATTCTGTTCTCTTTGCAAATCTAAGTACAGGAGAGAAATGACTGCACAATAATGATCTCAGACAGCCAGGAAGAGTAGACAGCCTCCTCAAAGCACCTCCCCTGCCTTGCTTCCATAACTGTATAAGGACACCTATGGGCAAATAGCCTATCTTAGGCAAAATGTCTAGTGGACTCAGGCAGAGGCTCAGGAAACAGAGTTTTCTGTCCAGTTCATCACATGTGTATCACTCTCAACTAAGCCATGTCTATGGTAATGAAGAAGTGAAGGTTAAAAAGATGAGACAAGGTAGAGTTCTCGAAAGCACAGCCCATAGACACTTCAGTCTCATTGGCTTTGGCATGTTCTAGGCCATGATGCATATGTGTGCATGCATGTGCAAATCCCGTCAACCATGTATACTTATGTGGAGAGCAGAGGTCAACTAAAATCTTTTCTTCCAGTGCTCTCCCTCCACCTTATTTCTTGAAAGAGTCTTTCACTGAACTGTTAACCAAAGCTGGCTGGCCAGCAAACTCCCAGGATCTGCCTGTCTCCAGGACCCTAGTTCTGTAATTGCAGACATGGGTCAGCTTACCCAGAATTTTACAATGGGTGCTGGGGATCTGAATTCAAGTCTCAGTACCCACTGAACCATCTCCCCAGCACTGTACCCTGGGTTTTTTGTTCATTTGTTGGTGTGTGAATGTGTGTGTGTGCGCGCGTGCGTGCGTGCGTGCGTGCGTGCGTGCGTGCGTGCGTGCGTGCGTGCGTGCGTGTGTGTGTGTGTGTGTGTGTACACGCGCTCATGAGTGTAAAAATCAGAGAGCAGCTTGAAGGAGTTAGTTCTCTCTTTCCACTATGTAGGTCCCAGGGATCAAAATCAGGCTTGGCAGCATAAGCTTTCACTTGTTGAGCCAGCACACCAGCCCCATGCTCTGTTTTTAATGTGGTTGACATTGCAGGCTGGAATCCATGCTCCCAGGATCTTTGCTCTCTGGCTGGCTTGCGCTGAGTAGGTTCCCTGAGTTTCCCAAGCTTCTACTTTTCTCTCTAACATGGTTGTGACAATAAAATCACTCAAGACTGTGGAGTAACCCTGTGCAGTGTCCTGAGGACAGGGTAAGGAACTCAAAGTGTGCTGTTATAGCTGGCCACCTACCTGCTTCAGAGCTCTGAAGGTACCCACAGCATTAATCCAAGCCAAGACAGGGCCTTTGTTGTCTGTTGCACCTCTTCCATATAACTTTCCTTTAAAAACAAAAGAAGAACATTTCAAAGTAATATACATCTGCCAAGTTACATGAGTTATAGGAACTCAACTTTTGAGATAAAAGAAAATCCATATCTGGGTTAGAAATTTCTACAAAGCCAAATGACTGGATTTTGAGATTAGCTAACTAATATGAGTTACAATGTTGCTGACCAAAACCCAGACTATCTGGGGCAATTTTTAGTCCTGTTGAAACCCATTTGTTTGCCATCCCTGTATCTGACCTCAATATCCTTGTAACCTCCAAAGCTTTGAGGATATGTGCTGAGTAGACACATAAGTTCTGCCAATCAAAAAACAAAGCATGTCATTAGATGGCATCTCCTAAAAACATTTTAAAATTGTTTAAATTTTATATGTGTGGATATTGTTTTTCCAGCTTGTATGTCAGCACACCACTTGTATTCCAGGAGCCCACAAAGGCCAGGAGAGGGTATTGGATCAGCTAGACCTGGAGATACAAATGATCATGAACTGCCATAAGGGCTGAGAATCAAACCTAGATCCTCTGGAATAGCAGCCATGCTCTCAACCACTAAAAGCCATCTCTCCAGCCCACAAAATGAACCATCTTATTCCCTTTTAGGTGAGAGCTGTCTTTGGATTAACAGCTAAAATGATGTTTAATGAGTAAGACTTTAAATGCCTGTAATACAGCATTTGGCATTGGGTAGGTAAAGGCAAGAAGATCAGCTCAAGTTCAACAATTGAATATATAGCAAGTTCAAGGCCAGACTGGGCAGCTTGAGGCACTGTCTCAAAAACAAAAGCAAAACAAGCAAAAGAAATGCCGAGCATCATTTCTTCTATAGAAACAGGACTATCAACACCAGTCATATAAAACAAGCTAGTCTAAACACACACACATCTCACTAGTCTTGAAGAACTTCGCTATTTTGTCCAAGTCCCTTGACAGTGCCAATGCTTTGTTGCTGGACAGCACACAGCATATTCTCTTATGCTGAGACTTTTCTAATGGAAGAATAATGAAATAGAGATGCCTGTATATCTCTCTATTAACCTTTCTTCACAAAATACAAATTAGATCTGTTAAATGAAAAGCTGTGATCTAGACAACTGTTCCTATTGGTCAAGAACTCCATCCCCTAGGGTCATGAAAATACCAAGTTCACATAGTTTCTTCCACAAATGGAAGGAAATGAACGTCATTGACATGAAAACAGGACTTCTTTCAGTTCCTTCCATCTCTTTTCCTTCTCTCCCGTGAGTGCCTGTGTGTGTGTGTGTGTGTGTGTGTGTGTGTGTGTGTGT